AAAAAAAAAAAAAAAAAAAAAAAGGAAAAATGGTAAATTTTATGTTATGTAGATTTTACTCCAATTTTTAAACATAATTAAAACAAAATCCAGCATTGCTTATTTCATTTTTTAATTATAAAAAGCAGTTGAAGTTATTCTTCACCAGGGTCCTTTCGCATCCCAACCCCATCACACACCCGACATTTGACAATGTGCGGAGACCTTTTTTGAGGGTTGGGTACTACTGGCATCTGGTAGGTAGAAATCAGGGATGCTGCTAAACATCCTACAGTGTACAGGACAGCCCCTCACTATAAATAATTGTCCAGCCTCAAATGTCAGTACTGCTGAGGTTGATACACCCTGAAATAGAATGATGACCAATTAAAAGCCTAGAGAGGCTCTTGTATGATTGCATCTTTGTTTAGGGAGGAAAAATGATGACAGTATGAAAATTGGGCTATACGGTGAAAATTGAGAGTCATTAAGAGGTGTATTTAGTCTGCTGGGGCATATCACCGGCTGGGTGGCTTAAACACCAGAAGTTAATTCTCTCACAGTTCTGGGGGCTAGAAGTCCAAGGTCAAGGCACTGTCAGGGATGTTTTCTGGGAAGGCCTCTCTCCTCGGCTTGCAGATGGCTGTTGTCTCTGAGTCTTCTCATGGTTTGTCCTCTGTTTGCACTTAACTCCTGCCGTCTGTTTCTTTTTCTTTCTTTCTTTCTTTTTTTTTTGAGACAGAGTCTCACTCTGTTGCCCAGGCTGGAGTGCAGTGGTGCAATCTCGGCTCACGGCAAGCTCTGCCTCCTGGGTTCATGCCTTTCTCCTGCCTCAGCCTCCCGAGTAACTGGGACTACAGGTGCCCACCACCACACCCGGCTAATTTTAGTAGAGACGGGGTTTCACTGTGTTAGCCAGGATGGTCTCGATCTCCGGACCTCATGATCCGCCCTCCTCGGCCTCCCAAAGTGCTGGGATTACAGGCTTGAGCCACCGTGCCTGGCTCATCTCTTTCTTTTCTTAGGAGTACCCCAGTCCTATTGGATTAGGGCCCCACTCTGTGACCTTATTTACTTCCATAAAGGCCTTATCTCCAAATAGTTGTACTGGGAGTTAGAACAACATACGGATTAAGATTAGGGGAGACACAATTCACTTCATTATATTCTCTGACCCTCCTCAAATTTATGTCCCTTCACTTCAAAAATACATTCACCCCCATCTCAACAGCTCTGAACATCTCAACTCATTCTGGCATCAACTCCAAGTTCAGAGTCTCATCTAAATAGCATTCAACTCAAGTATGGGGAGACTTGAGGTATGATCCATCCTGAGACATAATTCCTCCCAGCTGTGATGTTATAGGCACTGGATAGACATTCCCGTTCCAAAAGGGAGAAACCAGAAGAAAGCGCTTCTAGACAAGTCCAAAACCTAGCCAGGCAAATCCCATTACATCTTAAGGCTAGAGGATCATCCTCTTTGGCTCCACGCTGTGCCCTCCACGCCCTCTTTGCCCTCTAGGGTGGTGGCTTTGCCCCTGAGGGCTGTAGTCAGAGGCAGCTGTAACTATCAGACGTGGCCCTACCCTGTGAAATCAAGGAGTAGACAGGCTTGCCCTGAGCTTATATACTCTGTGTCTTGGTGGCAGTGGCAGCACTGGGGATCTCTAAATTGCCCTTGGGATCATCCTTCCTTTTCTTGAAGAACAAAGAATGTTTGCATCCAGGTAGCTCTGCTTTCAGAAGTCCAAAAGCCTTACTTTATTTTATTCCATGTCCATCCCCTTCACTGCAAGTTGCCAGTGTCTCTACTGGTATAATCCCATCTCTCTTCCTGGCTTCTGCTGAGACGGCTGATTAAGTCTAGGGAATTTCTTTAGAGGGGGAGTGTTCAGCCACACCCTTGATTTTTCTCTCTGTAACACTCTTATTTTTTTGCAATATGGATAGCCTGAGAATTTTCTGACTCTGATTCCCTATTGCTTAACAATTTCTTCTTTAATTTGTCTTTTTCCTTTTGCATTTTACTGTAACCAGTTAAGGAGAAATCAGGTTGTATCTTCAACACTTTCCTTATAAATCTCCTCTGCTAAATATCCAAGGTTGTCACCCACAAAGCCACTTCTCCATTTCTATTTAGTTGTTACAGTGACACCCACCTCATAATCCAAATCTGTTTTATTTAGGGTTCTCCAGAAAAACAAAGCCAGTAGGATTTTTTTTATATGTAGGAGATTTATTAAAAGGAATTGGCTTATGCAAATATAGATTCTGGTTGAGTCCAAAATATGCAGTGTGGGCCAGCAGCCTGGAAACACAGGAGAGCTGATGGGGCAGATGAAAGCCAAAGGCAGTCTCTTGCTCAGGAAAGTCAGTGTTTTTGTTCTGCCCAGGTTTTCAGGTGATTGGATGGGGCCCATCCACATTATGGAGGGAACTGTGCTTACTGAAAGCTCACTGGCTTAAATGTTAATCTCCAAAGATTCATTCTGGATTGACACATAAAATTAACCATCACTGGAGGTAATAATAGTGTAGATAAGACAGGCCAGCACCAATAGAGGTTTAAAAAAATCTGAGTGAAAATATAATATAACAAACTAGAAAATATAATTGGATGTGGGAGTAAGTGCAAAATTGCAAGCCTTTGTTTTTGCAAAGATGGTGGTATCATTTTTCTAAAATGCCCAGGGCAGAAGACACTGCACTTACTAGAATAATTGCTTAGAAAGGGATTCTCCACCTCGGCCACACGTAGAATCATCTGGAAGATTTTAGGAATCTCTCTGTCCAAGCTATGCTGCACACCAGTTAAATCTAAATTCTGGGCGTAAAGCTAGGCGTGGTGGCTCAAGCCTATAATCCCAGCATTTTAGGAGGCCAAGGTGGGCGGATCACCTGAGGTGAGGTGAGTTTGAGACCAGCCTGGCCAACATGGTGAAACCCTGTCTCTACTGAAAATACAGACATTAGCCAGGTGTGGTGGCACACGCCTGTAATCCTAGCTACTTGGGAGGTTGAGGTAGAGGAATTGCTTGAGCCTGGGAGGTGAAGGTTGCAGTGAGCCGAGATCACGTCATTTCTCTCCAGCCTGCTGGGCGACAGAGCGAGACTCCATCTCAAAAATAAATAATTAAATGAAACAAATAATAAATACATTCTGGGCATGAGACCAGGCATCAGTATTTAAAAACCTCCCTAGGTGATTCCAGAGTGTAGCCAGCCTTGAGAACTGCTGTTGAGAGAAGCAGAGTCATGAGAAGCCTTTTACAAAAATTCTACCTGCCCGACAAAATCCTGGCGCACATGAGCCCAAGTTTCATTTCTGTGCTTCTTTCTTTTCCTAGCTGGCCTTGGTCGCACGGGCACTCTGATAGCATGCTACATCATGAAGCATTACAGGATGACAGCAGCCGAGACCATTGCGTGGGTCAGGATCTGCAGACCTGGCTCGGTGATTGGGCCTCAGCAGCAGTTTTTGGTGATGTAAGTAGTAGCGTACGTCTGTAGTTCCGAGGGAACAAGTGGGGTTGAAATCTGATGGGGACTGGAATTTCCCTTAGTTTTCAGTAACAACGGATAGTCTGGTAGGAAGAAGTTGTTCATGTGTCTTTCTGGAAAGCTCTATTTTGATGTTATTTAAATGCTCTAGGAAGCAAACAAGCCTCTGGCTGGAAGGGGACTATTTTCGTCAGAAGTTAAAGGGGCAGGAGAATGGACAACACAGAGCAGCCTTCTCCAAACTTCTCTCTGGCGTTGATGACATTTCCATAAATGGGGTCGAGAATCAAGACCAGCAAGAACCCGAACCGGTAATGAAGCTGTTTCTGTCGAGATGTTGTTACTGCTTTAACTGCTGTTGAAACCTTGTCAGGGCATGGAGAAATCTGTAGGTAAAATAATAAAGCAGTTCTTGGATGATTTGTCAGTTTTTTATATTTATAACCCTCTCTAGGCACTTTTTACCCAAAATAGTGGAAACGAGGTTGTGCGTCCATAAAACTATAACTCGGCAGGTGCATAAAAGGTTGTGAAGTGAGCTCTTTAGCCAGATCTACCCCGGCCCCTCACCCCTTTTTGCCATTTCACAACAGCCGATTTAGAAAGGCAATCAGTCTCAAATGGAGAGCTTTTAGCAAATCAAGGGCTTAGGGGGCAGCAGTACCACATTAAGTGGTAGTAAGTACACTGTGAGATTTTAAAAAGAATGTTTTCAAACGTGAAAGCCCATTAACCGTCTTCACTGTTGATACGTTCTATGATGAGTGCTGGGCTGTCTCTGAAAGTCAACTTTGGCTGTCTTAAAATGTGATCTGTAGCTTGATTGTGAAAGGGAAAAATATTTTAGAGTTTGCAGAAACGTGGACTGTCTGTGTTTATGTGGATAAATTGCTGTTCTGCTTTACTGCATTAATAAGTGCAATTTAAACCATTAGCTCAGTGTTTTTTTACTTACACAGTACAGTGACGACGACGAAATCAATGGAGTGACACAAGGTGATAGACTTCGGGCCCTGAAAAGCAGAAGACAATCAAAACCAAACGCTATTCCTCTCACGTGAGTCTGGGTTCCTTTGTTGTGGTTGATGTTTCTTTATTATGTGTGTGGGGTCCTTGGTGAGGGTTTTTCCTGTACATTTTTCTCCATAGTTGCAAGCCCATGATGCCACTTTGAAATGTTTGCCTATGTTATTTAAAACCTAGGGGTGCTGGCCTTGGAATCTCTCAGCTGGCCCTTGTTTACCTTGGGCCTCATGAGCCTTTATGGGTGGGAAGGCGACATCAGGGATACTTTTTCTCCATGAATAATCAGCACGGGGCATCCTCCAGAGCTCAACAGCAGATGGAAAGCCCAGGATGCCGGACCTGTCCATAGTTATAAACTGGTCTATTTCTTTACATTCGCCACGTAGCAGATCATTTGTTTTGATCAGCGTGACATGACGGCTTAATGACATTACGTTGTTTTTGGGGCAACAGTGAACTGGTCTAAACTATATTTTGGGTTTTTTGTTTGTTTCTTTGGGGAATGATTTTCTAATTATAGAGGAAGATTTAGCCTGAGAATAGTAAGTGTTGCAGTTACTGAGTGTATGTGTGTCCGTGTGTACATTCTCGTGAACGTGTGTTAGTTGGGATGGAACCTGATGGAGCGTCCAAGATTATTAGAAGAATACGCAGAAGCAAATTGCATGAACGTGGTCTTTTTTATAGGCTGCTCTTCAGTAGATGCTCCCACCTGTTGCCACTGGATTTCTTCCTTCTAGTTACTTCCTTTTTCAGCGTGTGTCACCAGATTTCCAACCTTTTTTGGGGGAAGGGAGTGTGATGGACATAGATCATTTGTTCAGTAAGCATCTTGTAATATGGTAAGGAAGTATGATACAATAAACCATTTGTATTGGCAGAGAACAGGTTTTCTTTTTAACTGAAGGTAATTCCTCACTAGTATCTCGTCATAAAAATCCTGAAGTAGAATCACATGTAAAGCATGTGTCATTATGGGCTGCTCCTCTGGGAGGTTCTTCAGAGACCCAATGTAAAGAGTTGAGTTTTGCAGTATGCAGTGTTATGTGATGTAGGGCATCCATTATGATGCCCTTGCAGTATGCAGTGTTATGTGAATGCATGTAGGGCATCCATTGTGATGACAGGCATTTATGAAGATTTCTTTTGCAGCTTAGTGGTACTGTAGTCAACTAGACTGCTTTAAAAATGGTGCCTTTTGGCCAGACATGGTGGCTCACACCTGTAATCCCAGCACTATGGGAGACCAAGGTAGGCGAATCACCTGAGGTCAGGAGTTCAAGACCAGCCTGGGCAACATGGTGATAGCCCATCTCTACAAAAATACAAAAATTAGCCGGGTATGATGGTGGGTGCCTATCATCCCAGCTACTCGGGAGGCTGAGGCAGGAGGATTGCTTGAATCTGGGAGTCAGAGATTACAGTGAGCTGAGATCGCGCCATTGCAGTCCAGCCTGGGCAGCAGAGTGAGACTCCATCCCAAAAAACAAACAAAGAAAATGTTGCCTTTTGTATAATTTACTTAACTCCGAATGTCATTTTGTTTTTAATTTCCTTATTAAAAGTCTTCATCCTAAGGCCTTCATGGTTTTTCTTCGGCAGTATTGTGGTGGCTCCAGGTAATCATCCAGATACTAACTCTGGATGTGGCGGAGGCAGGCAGTGCCCTCGAGCAGTGCTCCTCTGACTTAAGTGTGCATGAGGCACCCGGCGCTTGTTGAAATATGGGTTATGATTAGTGGGGTGGGGGCAGGGCCCAAGATTTCACATTCTAGCAGAGGCTGCTGGTCCAGGGACCACACATGGAATTGCAAGCCCTAGGAAACTGATGCTTTTGTGGGTTGATTTTAGCTGTGTCCAGGTTTTTTTGTTTTGTTTTTCAGGATCAGCATCATCGTTTATTTTTTAATATTTTGTTGCCTGCTGTTCAAAAGTCAAGTTGAGAGTCAGGGGATACAAATCCTGCTTAGTCAAAAGTTTTTGTTAAATAGGCAGTTTCCTTTAGTCACCCTCTGAATCTGCTACTCTGATTAACATGAGTTCAAATCTAGCTGGGCATGGCAGTGTGCACCTGTAGACCAGGCTATGTGGGAGGCTGAGGCGAGAGGACCACTTAGCCCAGGAGTCTGAGGCTGCAGTGAGCTCAGGATTCCTTTTGGTAATATCCTAAAAACAATATATAAAAATAGCCCCACATAACACAAATAACAAAGTTTTAGGCCACACTTTCAAAGAAGAAAGCAAAATGCTAGTTTTTCTAAGCTCTGAGTTATGTGTATAGACCCCAGGGGATTTTTGATGAGTCTCAGCAAATCTCCTTCCTCCTCCGTTACAACATTTTGCGTATCCCTTCTCTGCTTTTTCAAACCCTCTCTGCTATTATTTGCAGCTTTTTGGCCCTGGAAAAGATCAGTCGAAGGTTTTCTTTCTTTCCCTCTTGTGTCTTTGTAGTTATTTTAGGAATAGAAGTCCCTGAGGGACTGTATTCAACAATGGCTTCGGTTGAAAAATACAAAATCAATTTCTTCATCCCAATTTTGACTCATTGATTTCTGTGAGCAAGTTATTTTGCTTTAACATTGGCACTTAGCCTTATGAAAATACAGTACGTGCAAGAAAGAAAGTTAGTGAGAAATACACAAGTACTAGTGACTCTTAGGAGAAAGTTGTAGTACATAAAATATTATTCCAATGATTGGTTTCTCTCTCTCTCTCTCTTTTTTTTTTTTTTTAAGACGGAGTCTTGCTCTGTTGGCCAGGCTGGAGTGCAGTGGTATGCCCTCGACTCACTGAAAACTCTGCCTCCCGGGTTCCAGTGATCCTCCTGCCTCAGCCTCCCGAGTATCTGGGATTACAGGCGTGCGCCACCACACCCAGCTAATTTTTTGTATTTTTAGTAGAGGCAAGGTTTCACCATGTTGGCCAGGCTTGTCTCGAAATCCTGACCTCAAGTGATCCACCCACCTCAGCCTCCCAAAGTGCTAGGATTACAGGCGTGAGCCACCAGCGCCTGGCCGGTTTCTCTTTTATAAATGGTCAGTTTTGGGGGAGAGTTTAAGTTTTTTATCAATTGTAAAATGGCCATTTGCTCAGCCTGTCTAATCCTGACTACAGTGATGACAGTAAACCATGTGGCACCATTGACCTTGAGCTGATCTTCAGGACGTGATGACAAGTATATTGTCTGTGCTAAAATGGATTTGGTAGATTTCATAACTTGAGCCATGAGGCCTGTCGTTCTGCATAGTGATGGTTTTGGCAGGTTTGGAGATGGGTATGTGTGTTAGCAATGGAAAGTAATTCTTAAGCCGTGAGGTTTACTAGAGGAACAAATAACCATCTATAATGCTGACACCTGGACATTCAGGCTGTTCTGCCTTTAAGGAACTGAAAGTGAAGCCTGGAATGGGTAGAGAGTTTTCTAGTGCTCTCAGGCCATTTATTCATTCCGTTTAAATATTCACCCCTGTGATCTTAATATATATTAGTAGGCTTGTTTTTTGTGTGTGGGAAGATTAAATAAGATGGTGTAGGTATAACTTGTGGGGTGAGGTTAGCTTGTATTTCGAGTTCACCCTTTAGTCTAATCCCTTTCCACAATATAAGATGCCTGGCATGTACGTTTGTTTTTTTTTTCCGAGACAGAGTCTTGCTTTGTCACCCAGGCTGAAGTGCAATGGCGTAATCTTGGCTCAGTGTAGCCTCCGCCTTCCGGGTTCAAGTGATTCTCTTGCCTCCGCCTCCCGAGTAGCTGGGATTACAGGCGCCCGCCATCACGTCTCGCTAATTTTTGTATGTTTAGTAGAGATGGGGTTTCACCATGTTGGCCAGGCTGGTCTCGAACTCCTGACCTCGTGATCTGCTCCGCCTCAGCTTCCCAAAGTGTTGGGATTACAGGCGTGAGCCACTGTGCCTGGCCTGACATGGAATTTTTAATGATGACAGTGATGAGGTCAACAATAAAAATGACATGATAAGCCAAATCAGTCGCTTCCAAATTGATCAGCAGTACCACGCACGCGGCACATGCTCAGTAGCGGCTCTAGCATTTGGTCACAGATGTATCCAGGTAACCATGTGGAAGTGCAGTCACTGGAAGGAGCTTCTGCCCTTCTAAACGGGAGGAGGTTTCCTTCCTTGCTGCTAGAACCCAGATCAATGGATTGAGAAACCCCAAGCTGAGGCTGGACACGGTGGCTCATGCCTGTAATCCCAGCACTTTGGGAAGCGCTGGACACGGTGGCTCATGCCTGTAATCCCAGCACTTTGGGAAGCCGAGGCTGGACACGGTGGCTCATGCCTGTAATCCCAGCACTTTGGGAAGCTGAGGCTGGACACGGTGGCTCATGCCTGTAATCCCAGCACTTTGGGAGTTCAAGGGCAGGAGGATCACTTGAGCCCAGGAGTTGGAGACCAGCCTGGCCAACATAGTGAGACTCTGTTTCTACAAAAAAATTAAACAACAACAACAACAACAAAAAACTAACTGGGCATGGTGGCATGAACAGGTAGTCTCAGCTGCTACTCAGGAGGCTGATGTCGGAGGATTGTTTGCACCTAGGAGTTGGAGATTACAGTGAACTATGATAACGCCACTGCACTCCAGCCTGGGCAGCAGAGCAGTACCTTCTGTTTCTTTCTTTCTTTCTTTTTTTTTTTTTTTGAGACACAGTCTTGCTCTGTCGGCCAGGCTGGAGTGCAGTGGCATGATCTCAGCTCACTGCAATCTTCGCCTCCCGAGCTCAAGCAATTCTCCTGCCCTAGCCTCCCAAGTAGCTGGGATTACAGGCGTATGCCACTACACCTGGCTAATTTTTGTAATTTTTTTTAGTAGAGAAGGCGTTTCACCATGTTGGACAGGCCGGTCTCGAACTCCTGACCTCGGGTAATCCACCTGCCTTGGCCTCCCAAAGTGCTGGGCTTAGAGGCATGAGCCACCGTGCCCGGCCGACCCATTTCTTAAAAATGAAAAAGAGGCCAGGTGCAGTGGCTCATGCCTGTAATCCCAGCATTTTGGGATGCCGAGGCAGG